GTTTTATTTCTCTCCTCCAGTCAGCCTGGTGAACTTTCCCCAGCGGGGCTTCAGGCCTCGTTCCCTCTAGGCTCTTTCTGCCTTTCCCCGCCAATGTCTCGGGTTACCAAGGTTTTTGTCTCACCTCCCCTTCCAGTGCTGGCGTGCAGACTCTGCAGCTGGGCTTCCATGCGGTGGGTGACCTTGCTCTCCCCGTAGGTCCTCTGTGTCACATCCACTAGATCCGGAAGAGTTTCCTCTGCAATTTTTTCCTGAGCCTTTTCCTGAGACTACAGTAACTCCACTTTTATTAAACTATCTATTCCCGGACTATCAGTGTGCGCCCTCACTATTCCACCATCTTGGCTCCGCCACCTATTTTATTTATTTTAAAAGCATAGTTAGAGAGAGAGGGAGAGATAGAGATTCTCTATACGCTGGTTCACTCCTCAGATGGCTGCAATGACTATGGCTGGGCCAGATTGAAACCAAGAGCCAGGAGCTTCTTCTGGATCTAGCATGTGGGCACTGGGGCCCAAATACTTGGGCCATCCTCCACTGCTTTCCCAGACACATTAGCAGGGAGCTGGATAGGAAGTGGAGCAGCTGGGACCTGAACCAGTACCCATATGGGATGCCAGCATTGCAGTTGGCAGCTTTACCTGCTTCTCCACAACTCTGGCCTCAGGAAAAAAACTTTTTTTTTGTTTCAAAGATTGACTTATTTATTTGAAAGGTAGAGAGATGAAGCAAGAGTGAGCAAGTGTTTGTGTATGTGTGTGTGTGAGAGAGATTTTCCATCTGCTGATCCATTCCCAAATTCTCACAATAGCCAGGATTAGGCCAGGCTAAAGCTAGGAGCCAGGAATTCCATCTGGGTCTCCCACATGGATGGCAGTAACCCAAGTACCTGGGCTATCATCTGCTGCCTCCCAAGTACATTAGCAGGAAGCTGGATCAGAAGCATGGTAGTCAGGACCTGAATTAGGTACTCTGATATGGGATACAGGTATCTCGAACTGAAACTTAATCTGTTCAACCCCACCACCAATCCCCAGAAAAAAATTTTTTTATAAACAAAGTAATCAGTAAGAATTCTGAGTCAGCTGGATACCATGCATTTTCTGCTATTTTAAGTAACCAAAATGAAGTGCTTTAATGGAATCTATTTTAGAAAGCTTCAGATCCTCCTTAAAGCCAAAAGAAGGAAAAGAGCCAGCATAGAAGTTGTTATAGTATCCCTTTGCTCATTTTACTGATGAGTAAAAGCCAAACTTTGTATAACACTCATTTACCTTTACAGAGTTCTTTCACTTGTTATCTTATTGTATGTCATTGGATCTGCTCCCATTTAATGGATGAGGAAACAGGCTGAGAGGTTGAGTGACTTTTCTAAATTCATTCAGTTAGTAATGCTAGAAGCAATATTCAATCTCTGGTCTTTTGAACCTTGGCTCTTTTCATAACAGGAATTATGAATTTATTTATTTATTTACTTGTTTATTTATTTATTTATTTACTTAAGATTTTATCCATTTATTTGAGAGATAGAGTTACAGACAGTGAGAGGAAGAGACAGAGAGAGGTCCTCCCTCCGTTGGTTCACTCCCCAAATGGCCGCAACGGCCAGAGCTGCGTCAATCCGAAGCCAGAGCCAGGAGCTTCCTCCGGGTCTCCCATGTGAGTGCAGGGGCCCAAGGCCTTGGACCATCTTCCACTGCTTTCCCAGGCCACAGCAGAGAGCTGGCCTGGAAGAGGGGCAACTGGGACAGAATCTGGCGCCCTGACTGGGACTAGAACCCTGTGTGCTGGCGCCGCTAGGTGGAGGATTAGCCTATTGAGCCGCGGTGCCGGCCCAACAGATTTGTTTTTAAAAGTAAAAGCAGGTGGTGTATAGAAAATGGAGTAAAAGTGACAGCAAGAAATTCCAAGTAGTATTTGTATTTCAAGCCATTTAGTCTCAGAGAGAAGTAGGCAGAAAGTATACTGGGAACTTTGACTCAGTCTCATCTGTGAATGAAAATGACCATGATGTGGCCCTGTGGACAGCTCATTGTGACACAGTATAGAGATTCAGGTTAGTTTTTCTTCTTATGGTGCCTTCTCAGATATTCCATCTTAGTCTGTATTTACACTATGAAGAGGCAGAACTGGTATTTTTTGTTGGATCCCTATGAAATATATGAGGAAGTTGAGACTCAGGGAAGCTGTGTGTCTTGTTAAGAGCACACAGCTCATATGAAGCAGGAACAAACTCAACCTCTGCCTCCAGATCATATTTCTGATACTTTGTGTCAATGACTTTCAAATCCATACTTTAGGTTCCCCACCTGTATTTTTCACTGCTAGCTGGACATTTCCACATGGAATTCCTGCTGGCAACTAATTAAAAGATGTACAAATTAATCAACATCAAGATGAGAGCCCCCTTTCCTCCAGCTTCCTGTACTGAAATAACGCCTTATCATTTTCTCAGCTACTCAGTCTTAGATTCTTAGTCATGCCTAGCTTTGTTTTCTTCTTTAACACCCACAAACAGTGGGCCTATCCCATAGACAGGAGCACACTCTTTACTTTCACTACTGCCTTGGTTTAGGTTTTTATATCTTTCTGTCTTACCTAATGTGAAAGAATTTCTGTATTAGGTCCTTCCCTATGCAAATCCATTTGACTCACTGTAGTCAGCTTGATTTTTGTCACTTCTTGTTCTGAAAATAGAGGGGGAGAGAGAGAGACAGAGAGAGGAAGCTTCCACCCATTGTTTCACTCCCCAGGTGGCTGCAATGGACAGGGCTGTGCCAGGCCAAAGCCAGGAGTTCAGCGCTTCTTCCAGGTGTCCCACGTGGATGCAGGGGCCCAAGCACTTGAGTCATCTCCTGCTGATTTCCCAGGAGCATTAGCAGGGAGCTGGATTGGGAGTGGAGCAGACAGGTCTCAAACTGGTGCCCGTGTGGGACGCCAGCCTTGCAGGCAGTGGCTTAACCCATTACACCACAGTGCTGGCCCTGAGATGCCTCCTCTCTGAATAGTCTGCATTCCCATTCTTCTCAGGCCTGGAGTGGGCCTATCCTTTAGCTTCTCAAACTGCTTGAATAAAAAACAAATAAATCTGCTATTTCCAGATGTGTGGCCGTACCTAAGATACTTAGCTATGGGCCTAGCTGATAATTTCTGATTATCTTGTCCCCAAATCTCCATTCTGATTTTGACATTCAGTCTTAACCTACTTCATCAGCCTTATTTTTAACTATATTCTCTTACATGTAGCCTATCTTTTCTTAGCTTAATCCACATTTTCCTACAACCAAACCTCTGTTCATTTTGTCCATATATCTTGAATGCTATAAACTCAGCCTCTTGAAATCTTGGATGATTCCTACTTACTCTGACATATATGATCTCTCTTTCCACAGACACTTTATACTGCTTTGAGGGCATCTCATCCTTTGTGTTAGAGCTTACTTGGCTGCTACATTTACTCGCAGTACCAAAAGTGTTTCATGAGATCATTTAACTCACCTAATAATATGGTTATCTTCAACAGGTATTGAATACTTAGTGTAAGCTGGGCTTAATGTCAACATTTTCAGCAGATGGCATCTTCATTTTACAAATGAAGAAGCCAAGTCTATCAGATACAGTAATATCTAAAAGTTACATGCAGCTTATTAGATGTACAGCTATAATTTCAACATATCTAGCCCCAAGATTTAATACCACTTGTTAACTGCCATTGAAACTACTACTCCCCCGCTCCTTTGCTTTCTTACCGTACTTTCAAAGAAATTTATTTTCCAAACTTTTTCTTAAAAACCTTTTGATTTGCAGCTGAGGGAAGGGAAGGGGACAGATGCGTGGTTCTGTTTTTCTAGGTGGTAATGGGTAATGGTGTACAGACGACTGCATGGTTAAGCTAACTGAACTGGGAGTTGAACCAAGGCACTCTGATGTGCTGACAACCGTTAGGCCAAACATCTGCTTCCATAGCATTTTTGAAAGAATTATTCAAAGATGATTTTTTTTTTTTTGACAGGCAGAGTGGACAGTGAGAGAGAAAGACAGAGAGAAAGGTCTTCCTTTGCTGTTGGTTCACCCTCCAATGGCCGCCGCTGCAGCCGGCGCACCACGCTGATCCGATAGCAGGAGCCAGGAGCCAGGTGCTTTTCCTGGTCTCCCATGGGGTGCAGGGCCCAAGCACCTGGGCCATCCTCCACTGCACTCCCTGGCCATAGCAGAGAGCTGGCCTGGAAGAGGGGCAACCGGGACAGAATCCGGCGCCCCGACCAGGACTAGAACCCGGTGTGCCGGCGCCGCAAGGTGGAGGATTAGCCTATTGAGCCACGGCGCCGGCCTCAAAGATGATTAACATCTAGTAAACATCTACTGTGTTTCAGTCCCCCTGCGTTGCTCCTTCTCATACATAGCATTTATTGATTTTCTGTGCTGGGACATGAGAAAACCAAGAATGAGAAATATTCAGAAACTTTGTGTCTGTGTGGTGGTGGTGGTGGTGCTGCTGCTGACCCAGGTGCAAAGTGGAAAATGATACAAGAGCAACAAAGGGATGTGTGAAACAAAAGAGGGGATAGAGAGGCCAAGAAATGTGATTCCTAGCACTGTGGTGCAGGCAGAGAATCCAGAAGATGATCCTAACATTTTTAGCATTTCAGTTAGTGATGCATTGCAAAATGTTATCCTAAGATAGAAGCAGAGTTAACAAGGTGTTTTAGGGATAATATTAGCTACAAATAGGGTTGTAGTGATATGTTAGGTACAAATAGAAATGCATGATTTCTCAAGGTGCTGTCCCAGGTTTGTGATTCAGAATAATATGAAGCATAGGTACTTCAGATTTGAGAACTCATCTATGTAAGATCAGAGCTGCGGTTTTGAGAATTCATCCACGTGAAATGAGAACTGAAAATACTGGCATGGTTATTTTTTTTTCTTTTGTGCAGAGACAATGCAGAAAAATGAAAATGTTGATGAAATTTTTGAATCTATTTTCTTTTGTTTTTTAGGAAGATGACTCCTGTGAGTCAAGCAAAGAGAAAAGGCGAGTGAAAAAAAAGGTGTCTTCTGGGGGAATGTTTGTGAGAAGGTACTGATTAGTGAAATCACTTTAAATAAACTTGATTTTTTTCTCTTTAGTTTAAAAAAACTGATATAAAGGTAAATTATATAAACTCTTCTCACTCATTCAGATATGCAATATTCCAATTTTGAAGGCAGAACATATTCTATAATGTCAGAGGAATTTTAAAAATTACAGACTAGGTTGTATACCCTCTCCCAAAGTATTTATATAAGGCTGTCAAGAAATTTATAAGTAATTTAAAGCTTCACATAGCCTTTAAAATATAAGGTGGTACAATCTAAGGATCCAAAGAAATCTAGACATTATACATTCTGTTATGGGCCGGTGCCGCGGCTCAACAGGCTAATCCTCCGCCTGTGGTGCTGGCACCCTGGGTTCTAGTCCTGGTCAGGGCGCTGGATTCTGTTCCAGTTGCTCCTCTTCCAGGCCAGCTCTCTGCTGTGGCCCGGGCGGGCAGTGGAGGATGGCCCAAGTCCTTGGGCCCTGCGCCTGCATGGGACACCAGGAGAAGCACCTGGCTCCTGGCTTTGGATCAGCGCAGTGCGCCAGCCACAGCGGCCATTGAGGGGTGAACCAACGGAAAAGGAAGACCTTTCTCTCTCTCTGTCCACTCTGCCTGTCCAAAAATAAATAAATAAATAAAAAATTCTGTTATGGATCCACAGTAGAATAATACTTCTTTCACTTTCTAGAGAGTTCCATTTACTACTAGTATGGATATGGTTTTTTCACTTGGTTTAGGAGTGGGTGTTAGCCTAGAGGTTAAGATGCCTGCATCCCACCCTGGAATACCTGGGTTCAATAATTAAATCTAAACAAAAATTCATTAATTATTTTTAAAGTTTAATTTTTCAAATGACTTTTTAAAAGAACATCCAGACTTAGGAGACAATGCAACATAAGATCAGTAAGTTTTAGAAAAGAACAACAGTATAGTAACCACCAAATATCTCACTTGGGAAAGTTTCACATAAAATAAAATCTCTTGTAAAAAGAGAAAAACATAAAATCTGCTTGCTAAGAAAACTCATGTAATCTGCTTCAGAATTCAACCTTTGTTCTATCTTGCAGGCTTTCTAAAAAAAAAAAAAAGAAATGTAGAGAAGCAACAGAGTGGTCAGAATAAGAAACACATGGGTTTATTTTTCTTTCTTCACTTTTGACCCTTCAAGATGTATTTCACTGATCAAAAAATACAGCATTACAGTTCAGTTCTGACTTCAGTGCCTTCATTTTTCCTTCCATCTCTTCCTCTTTCTTCTGTCAACTAGCAAAGATCTGTGACTATCCTGGAGCAGTTATTTAGATCCTGCCTCCCACTAAAGATCTGATTGCTAGATTTGGGCTTCACTGGCAGCAGCCTTCACATCAGAGTGCACATCTTCTGGATCTTACATGGATGCTAAAGGCCATTTGGGGCCGGCGCCGCAGCTAAATATGCTAATCCTTCACCTAGCGGCGCCGGCACACCGGGTTCTAGTCCCAGTCGGGGTGCCGGATTCTTTCCAGGTTGCCCCTCTTCCAGGCCAGCTCTCTGCTGTGGCCTGGTAAGGCAGTGGAGGATGGCCCAAGTGCTTGGGCCCTGCACCCCATGGGAGACCAGAAGCACCTGGCTCCTGGCTTCGGATCAGCGCAGTGCGCCAGCCGCAGCGCGCCAGCCGTGGCGGCCATTGGAGGGTGAACCAACGGCAAAAAGGAAAACCTTTCTGTCTCTCTCACTATCCACTCTGTCAGCATCGCTGAGACCAGTTTGACTCAGTTTGGCCACTGTGACTGGTCAAGGGTTTGTAATAAGTGTTAAAAACATTTTTAAATGACTCTTTATTTTCACTCATTAGTTTCTCTGTGGTTTCCAGACCTTCAATCTACAGTAACAGTTATCAGCATTTAATGGCACTTTATTGAGATCTGTGCCAAACAAGTCTCTTATCTCTTATTCCTCACAACAGCCATATGAAGTAGGTGTATTTTATAGATGGAGGTTGGTTGTTCTGTCCAGTTTCACAAAACATACATTTGGGATTCTAGGCTTGGCATCATAACCACTTCTGGAATCCCAAACCCATGGGAACTCATCTTCTGGGACTATACACAGCCTTTCCTCCTCTAACCTGGTGCCCTTAAAATTAATCCCAACTCTGGGAATAGTTTATTACCTTTGCTTCAGTTATTTTCAAGTCCATGTCTATAGTCTCTCCCTGTACAAGTGAGGCAGAACAGTTCTGTAACAAAAATACACATCCTGTGGCAAGGTTTGTTCCCGTTGTCCTTGTCTATTCTCTTTTAAGCTAACAGGATTTTCCTGGGCTTGTGGCATTTAGGATAGGGACCAACTTCCTTCACAGCCAGGATACCATTGTTGCAGACATTAGGATATGAGCAAAAACAGCCTGTAAAACTTGAGGGTCATACCCCAAAGGAAAAGGGCTTGCTTCCTCTTGCCCCTTTATTCTGGAATGTGGTTGTGATAAGTCATTGTAACTTGTGAATGAGGACAACACTAGGGATGGTAAAGCAGTAAGATAAGAAGCCAGGGCCCCAGCCCATGGAGCTAACATTTTAACCCTTAGAATGCTTATATTGAACTAAAAAATAAACCCATTTATAAGCCACTATTCTGGGTCTTATTATGGCAGCTAAATTAAAATTGTTATACAATTCCTAAATTATACTTATTTATAAGTCACATTTATGTATTATTGTCATGTTAATGAAACATGAATGGAAAGATAATAAGAGGAGATAAAAGTTATTTTGTTCATATAACTCAGTAGATTATCCATCTATTTAGAACTCAAGTTGGAGAATACTAGCATAGTAAGAATGGGAGATTTGGAGATTTAGGTCTGTGTTGAGTAATCTTTACCTTCTGTCTTCTCTAAGCTTGTTGTTTTAGCTATAAAATGAGGACACCAACCCCTATCTTAGGTGGTAATCAAAAATTAGATAATATACATTAAGCATATTTGGTATCATATCACGGCAGCTCTTATTTTTCAAATTGACAATGTTTCAGAGGGTGACCATAGCCTTTCCTACAAAGCATGTTACATACCTAAAGTTTGACAAAATAGGCATTATAAACCTTGAAGGCTTCTTATTGACTCTTAACTGGTCTATTCTGTCACCAAAGCAGTATGAATAGGCAGGTTAGGATCTGCTTTACGGCCAAACAAGGTGACAACAGCTAATTCTTTAGGAGGCTTTTCACTACTCTGAAAATGCCCAAGAAAGTATAGCATTCTCTGAAACTCAGTATAAATGAAACTTTCCCATACTACTGATACTCATATATATATATGCATATTATGAAAAAACTATGGATTTCAAATTTTTATGCATTAAAATAAATTCTTTTCTTCTTTTTTTTTTTTAATTTAGAGGTCTTCCATTTGTTGGTTCACTCGCTAAATGGCCACTCCCTAAACCAGGACTGGGCCAGGCCTCCCATGTAGTACAGGGACGCAAGCGCTTAGGCCATATTCTGCTGTTTTCCCAGGCCCATTGGCAGAGAGGTGAATCAGAAGCAGAGCAGTGGGGACATGAACTGGTGCTCATATGGGAAGTTGGCACTATAGATGGTGGCTTTAACCTGCTGTGCCACAGCACCAGCCCCAAGATAAACCATTTTTTTTTTAAGATTTATTTATTTGAAAGAGTTACACACACACACACACACACACACACAGAGAGAGAGAGAGAGAGAGAGAGAGAGAGAGAGAGAGAGAGGTCTTCCATCCGCTGGTTCACTCCCTGGTTGGCCGCAGTGGCTGGAGCTCCACCGATCTGAAGCCAGGAGCTTCTTCTGGGTCTCCCACGTTGGTGCAGGGGCCAACAGACTCGGGCCATCTTCTACTGCTTTCCCAGGCCACAACAGAGCTGGATCAGAAGTGTAGCAGCCGGGAATCAAATCCATGCCCATATGAGATGCTGGCACTGCAGGCAGCTACTTTTCCCACTATGCCACAGCACTGGCCCCAATAAACCACTTTTAATTCTATTTCTCCCACGAACTTTTAGAAGTACCCTCATATACAACAGCTGTTTTATTGTGGAGCACAAGTGCTGGAATATAGGTGTAGTTCTGAGGTATATGGGAACAGAATCCACTCATTTTTGTTTATTTTAGGTATTTCATTCTCTAACCAAAAATCTCTCAGATCTCCAAAACTGCCACTAAAGTGAAGCCTCAATGGAAAGGATATAGGATCTAGAAGTAATGGGGATGGGGTATGGTGTGTTTGACACTCCTACTCTCTCATTATTGGATACAAAGCACTTCACTTGCTAATCTCTACAGTAAGAATGAACACAGATCTATTTTAGTGGTGATAGGCTAGTACTGTGCATCTTTGTCATAAGCAGGTCTCATAAATAGGGCCCCTCCTTTTCCATCTGGGTTGTAAACATAATTGAGATGAAGGATGAATTAGACTGATATTTAGCCTAAATAATATGCTTACTGATAAAAATGTTGAAGTGTTGGAGAATATGATTTTTCTTTTTTCTTTTTTTTTGACAGGCAGAGTGGACAGTGAGAGAGAGAGACAGAGAGAAAGGTCTTCCTTTGCCATTGGTTCACCCTCCAATGGCCGCCGCAGCCGGCGCACCACGCTGATCCAATGGCAGGAGCCAAGTATTTATCCTGGTCTCCCATGGGGTGCAGGGCCCAAGTACTTCGGCCATCCTCCACTGCAATCCCTGGCCACAGCAGAGAGCTGGCCTGGAAGAGGGGCAACCGGGACAGAATCCGGCGCCCCGACTGGGACTAGAACCCAGTGTGCCGGCGCCGCTAGGCGGAGGATTAGCCTAGTGAGCCGTGGCGCCGGCACGGTTTTTCTCTTCAGTCTAATAAGGTTCCTATCACTGAACTCCAGAGTTGGAGAGGTATACCCTGTCTCAAGCATAAGTAAATGGGCAGGCCTCACTCAGCAGAAGTAGAGCCTGTTGGCATAGGAACAGAACACTGTGGCGCAGTGGGTTAACGCCCTGGCCTGAAGCCCCGGCATCCCATATGGGCACCAGTTCAAGACTGGGCTGCTCCTCTTCCGATCCAGCTCTCTGCTATGGCCTGAGAAAGCCGTACAGAATGGCCCAAGTCCTTGGGCCCCTGCACCCACATGGGAGGCCTGGAAGAAGTACCTGGCTACTGGCTTTGGATCGGCACTGCTCTGGCGGTTGCGGCCATCTAAGGAGTGAAACATTGGGTGGAAGACCTCTCTCTCTGTGTAACTCTGACTTTCAAATATATAAATAAATCTTAAAAAAAAAAAATGGAATGAATATTCTCTGCTTAGGTTAGATGTGTGGACAAAGTGGCTGAGCTGCTTGAGCCATTTCTCCTTCCAAATTTTCAGTTGTGGATAAGTCATTTTAGTTGACCTAGGGCAGTGTAGACAAGGGAACAAGAGTGATAACTTCCTTCACATGAAGGAAACAATTTCCTTTTAATATTTTAGTTCCTTTGACTGATTGTTTAATGTCTCTCTTCTACACTAAGATTGTTGAGTTCCATGAGAATGAAACCATGTTCACCTTTGGTGCAACCTCTGGTTCACCTCTGAGATAGCCAATTTGCACTGTGTTGTTGAGTACCTAGCAGGCCATCATCTTGGTTAAGTGGGCAAATGTCATATCTGGTTAAGGAGCCAGGAATTCCAACTTCATCTCTAAGATAGGTGGCAGAGGCCAAAGTATTGGGGTCATCATTTCTGCTGCCCTCATAGGTGCATTAGCAGGAAACTGGACTGGAAAGGAGTAGCTGGGCCTTGACCCAGGCACTCAATAGAGATGCCAGCATAGCGGGCAGTGGCTTAACCCAGTGCGCCCCAATGCTTGCTCCAGCGTAAGTTCTTTGAAGACAGAAGACAATCTTCTAATTTTTACACACTCACTGGACCAGATGGGCCAATCTCTTGACTACTCTATACTCCAAGTTCCTGTTTATAGCTAAACAAATGACAAGGTTATTTTGAATAATTCACTACCAAAATTTTAAAGCTGTTGCCAAGTCATGAAATCTTTTAAAATGTTTAGCACTTCTCGGCAATCACTTCTTTACCTGGGTAACGCTGAAGAACTAAGAAGTAAATGAAGGCCAGCGCTGCGGCTCAATAGGCTAATCCTCCGCCTACTGGTGCCGGCACACCAGGTTCTAGTCCCGGTCGGGGCGCCGGATTCTGTCCCAGTTGCCCCTCTTCCAGGCCAGCTCTCTGCTGTGGCCTGGGAGTGCAGTGGAGGATGGCCCAAGTCCTTGGGCCCTGCACCCACATGGGAGACCAGGATAAGGGCCTGGCTCCTGCCTTCAGATCAGCGCGGTGCGAGGGTGAACCAACGGCAAAGGAAGACCTTTCTCTCTGTCTCTCTCTCTCACTGTCCACTCTGCCTGTAAATAAAAAAAGAAGTAAATGAGTATAGGTATTATATATAAGTCAATACATCCAATAAAAAACAAAAATGAAATTTCCTTATGAGTTTCCATATATATTCGCTGAATTTAAATTAATCATTAAGAAAAGCTGTGCTTTATGTAATGAATTTGAGCTTGGTTAACTTATACTGGTTTAAATGGGATAAACTGGTTTTTGTATGAAAAAATATTAAATACATGTAATAATTAGATGAACTCTACAAATTTCACAGTTATTCACTTGTACTAAAGCACATTTTAAAATTTTAGTTCATTACAAAAAAAAAACTATAGCTAGATACTTTCTAAACAACTGTTTAATAATATTTTATAGTCTATAAAAATATAATTGCAGAAGTTATCAGGAAAGTTAAATCCTATAAGGGTGGGGAATAAGGGAAGGTTAGGTAGTAGTTTTCCAACAATGAAATCTTACATGATTTACAACAGTTCAAACATAAGAAAACTGGTCTAGTTCCTATGAACTATTGAAAGAATAAGGACAAAATGCCCTTCTATTTCAAATAAATCAGGTGGGAATGACAGCTTTTCAACATAATAAAATACACACATGAAATACCAACAAAATATCTCTTCCCATTCTAAAATATTTCTCTTTAGTCATCATACACTTTGAATAATCTTGTGGTAAGTTTCTGGTACAAATGATAATGTTCAAAGAAAATGTATTCTGGCTTAGTGTTCAAAGAAGTCGATGGCAGCGGCAGAGGAGCATTAGTAGTACTTCCAGATTCTATAAAATCCCAATGATATTGCCAGGCAAGTAAACACTGATGCTGGTAGGGGGAGAAAAAAAAAAACTGTTACAAGTTATATATTTGAGACTATTTTGTAGAGACACAGGCCTGCTACCTTCAATTTAAACAAAAAGTAAAAAAAGAAATCCAACTAATTTGTACTGTATGTTTTTCATTCCCTAGAAAATTAAGGATAAAAGATATCCTTAAGGGCAAGATTAATGCCAATTCTTAAAAAGCTTCCTATATTTCAATAGAGAATGATAATTCAAAAATGCAGACTATATGTCACTCTATAAATAATATTTAGAGTCATTTGTATTTTTAATGACTAATTATAAACCCTAATTTCAGATCTAATAATAAATGAAAGCTATTTTACCTATATTATAAATCATGTAGTTAAGCTAGTAGACTATTCATAACTTAGAGGAAAATCTGAATTGCCTTTTCAGTACATTTTAAAATAATGTCTCAAAAAAATGAAATGTTAATGAAAATCCTTTTTAAAAATTTCAATGACATAGACAAAATGGCCAGAAAAGTATTAGGTTTTTAAAAAAGTTAATTTATCACTTGCTTTTTATATCATTTTGGATAGAAAATCTTTGTTCTTCCAGCTACATTCTGAATGAGGCTTTTAGGAACAGCCTAGTTTCCAATTTATTTAATTAGGCACAGGAGAATTTTTAAAATGGAGAATATGAGATATGAGGCAAACTTATGACCGAATACATAATATTTCCTTAATTTTAAGAAATTGGATTAGTTCTAAAAACATACAGGGAAGGTGGACATTGAGAAGAAAGACTAACACTAAGATGTTTTAGCTTACTGCCAGCAGGCAACATTATCCCATTTGGTCCTGCCATTCACCATGTGTCAAATAGTGTTCTGGGCAATACATACACATACTACATATACCTTAATAACAATAATTAAAGACCTAGGAGATAAATGGTATTACATCCATTGTACACATGAAACAACAAACCCAAAGTTTTTGCTAAGTGGAGCCAGGATTCATGACTGGTTGTATCTGACTCTAAAGCTGCCTTTTTTTTTTTTTAAAGCCATTTTGTTATCTTTATACAGGACACCTGAGAGATTCAACCTAATTTGTCATTTTTTCAAAGCTGCATAGTTGGCCGGTGCCACGGTTCAATAGGCTAACCCTCCGCCTAGTGGCGCCGGCACAGTGGGTTCTAGTCCCGTTAGGGTGCTGGATTCTGTCCCGGTTGACCCTCTTCCAGTCCAGCTCTCTGCTGTGGCCAGGGAATGCAGTGGAGGATGGCCCAAGTCCTTGGGCCCTGCACCCACATGGGAGACCAGGAGAAGTACCTGGCTCCTGGCTACGGATCAGCACGTTGTGCTGGCCGCAGCGGCCATTGGAGGGTGAACCAATGGCAAAGGAAGACCTTTTTCTCTGTCTCTCTCTCTCACTGTTCACTCTGCCTGTCAAAAAAAAAAAAAAGGCAAGCTGCATAGTGCTATGTCAGTGGTACTAATCTTTGCTAGTTTAAGAGCTAAAATATTAAGTCTTATATTATCAAATCTTTTCTTTATTAAAATACACAACTGGTTTTGCATCAAAATTTCTCATTTACTGTTGCTGTTATTTCAGCTTTTATTTCTTGGCTGTGCTAACTATGGAGTCATCCCAAACTGTTAACTGTTGGGCCACCTGCTGCTGCTTTCCCCAGGCCATTAGCAGGGGGCTGGATAGGAAGTGGAGGAGCCAGGACATGAACCAGTGTCCATATGGGATGCCGGTGCTGCAGGCAGTGGCTTTACTCATTATACCACAACGCCAACCTCCCCTCACCATAAACACTAACTTTTATTACTACTTATCTACCCAGAACAGAAGCTGCCACAATACCACATACTAAATGGAAATGGCTATTTTCTTATAGTTCTTGCCACTTGCTAACAGTGATCTGAGTCTCAAATAATTTTTAAAATTTATTAATTTGATAATGACTTTTTCTCCAAGAGAAATGGAAGATTTCTACTACTATTGAGCTGATGTCTCCAATTTCAGAGGATTTAGCAACAGTTTTAAAAACTTTTTAAAGTGTGGAAAGAAAGAGCACATTAAGCTCTACAGGGTCACTCCCAAAATGTGTAATAGCCAGGCATAGGCTGGGTCAAAGCCAGCAGCTGGGAACTCATACCAGGTCTCTTATATGACTGGCCGGGATTCAACTACTTCAGTTGCAGCTTTCCAGGGTCTATATTGCTGGAAAATGGAACTGGGAACTAGAGGTGGGTATTAAACCAAGATACTTTGATGTAGGATGCATGTTTTAACTACTAGGTTACATGACTGCCCCTTAAACTTATCTTTTAATTTTATTTTCCATTCACATTTTAAGGTACACACATGTATATGGGTGTTCAATGCAGTATCTTCCTAATAATGAACAACTGGGAATTTCTGTTAATAAAAGGGCTGGATAATGTATTTTCATCCAGTGGAATACTACACTTTCTAATAAAACAAGTTATATTAATGGGGGAAGATATTTAAGATATTTGGCTAAATTCAACAAAGTTGCAGAGTCTACTGTAATGATTTTTTTTGAGGAATTTAACATACAAAATAATTAGCCTAGAAACATAAAAACACAAGAGAAGATTTGGAACTTTCACTGCTTCTGAATTATATGAACAGTTTATAATTATAATTACTACTTGATTACGATATTCTTCCTGAGGACCTGTAATTGTCAGATAAGATGGCCCCTGTAGAGTCCCATATGTGACAAATTAATATTTGGGCAGCAGCTGTGCTCAATCAGTTGGTTCAAGGTAAGAGGTTACCCACCCCATCCCCTGCCATATTATGGTTTTTATTGCCTCTGTTTTAGTGATCGAACTCCCTGCAAATCCTATAAAAGAGCATAAGCAATAAGAAGAAAATTTTCATGGTGGAATAATCATTTTGTTTTTATGGTTTTTTGATGTTCAAACACTTTTTTCCCTTAGTAAGTTACACAGTTGCCTGTTTCTAATATTCTGAGACTGGAACCTCTTCCTATAAGCACTACAGGAGACCAAGCAATAAAGGAAAATGTTATGGCTCCTACTTTTTTTTTCTGGGCTGGCATGGTTACCTGAGGAAGCAGGAACAAACAATTCTGAAAATTAAATGACTGTAAATTGTTTCTCTGAAAAGCAGTCTTACCTGCAAGGTAACGGATTGTCTCAAGTTTGTTAGATTCCATCAGTGTTTTTAAGGAAGCAATTTCAGTGTCAATTTTATTGCTGATCTCCGAAATAACACTTTTGGTTTGAGTATCCTGTAGTAAATAAAAATCAACAAACTAAATTTTGTCCCTGTGTTTTGGATAAAAATATCATGGCTTATAACTGCATTACAAAAGTCTAAATCTGGCAAACAGTAAAATCAGTGATATTAAAATAAAATAAATGAGCACTGCAAAGTGACAAATTACATTCTTCAATTTTCTAATTTGCAGATTATTTCTTAGTATTCTCAGATACTAAGCATAGCCTACTAAAAATCTCAAAAGAAATAATTTGAGACCCAAAATATGATGATCTAAAGTAGCAAAAAATTTAGCTCCATAGTTATCCCTTTATGTGTGTCAAGTCCTTAAGATTTTAATGCTTAAAATATTACATGTATTCTGTAAAAGAAACTGAGGTTTACAACATGAACTGACACCAAAGTAACTGCTAGATATACCTGAGGGGCAACACTGAATACCACATGTATATGGCATAAGGGGTGGAGAGGAGAAATAAGATGGTATCTAGTACTCAGAAATTAGGCCGGTGCCGCAGCTCAATAGGCTAATCCTCCATCTTGCGGCGTCGGTACACCAGGTTCTAGTCCCAGTCGGGGCACCGGATTCTGTCCTGGTTGCCCCTCTTCCAGGCCAGCTCTCTGCTGTGGCCAGGGAGTGCAGTGGAGGATGGCCCAAGTGCTTGGGCCCTGCACCCGCATGGAAAACCAGGAGTAGCACCTGGCTCCTGCCTTCGGATCAGCGCGGTGCGCTGGCCGCAGCGCGCTGGCCGCGACGGCCATTGGAGGGTGAACCAATGGTAAAAGGAAGACTTTTCTGTCTCTCTCACTATCCACTCTGCCTGTCAAAAAAAAAAAAAAAAAAAGTTGTGAGTGAATTTGCCAATTTCATTGTTTATCTCCTTTATTTGACTAAGAAGTATAAGAAAACAGGGTCCTTGAAAGGACAAATGGGACCTTCTTTCCATAATGAGCAAGAACGAAGTCTAATGACTAGGCTGAGTCAGAATGATGACATACTCAAGTACCAGAGATTAAGTAATGATTACTAGGATTATAGAGAAAGTAGTAGTAGTTCCTGAGTACAGGGTAAAGAATCCATGTTCTTATCCCAGTTTTACCACTTAACAGGTTGTATGACCCTTAACCTCTCTGTCTCATTTTCCAAATTGGTAAAATAGGAATAGTACTGAAGATCTAATTAAAGAATGTAAAATGGTATCTGGTGCTATTGTAATAAATATTTACTATAATTAAAAAAAAAAAACTTTTGGGGCCGGCGCTGAGGCGTAGCAGGTAAAGCTGCTGCCTGCAGTGCCGGCATTCCTTATGGGTGCTGTTTGAAGTCCTGGCTGCTCCACTTCCAATCCAGCTCTCTGCTGTGGCCTGGGAAAGCAGTGGAAGATGGTCCAAGTCTTGGGCCCCCACACCTGCATGGGAGACCTGGCAAAACTCCAGGCTACTGGCTTTGGATCGGCCCAGCTCCAGCCATTGTGGCCATTTGGGAAGTGAGCCAGTGGGTGGAAGACCTCTCTCTCTGCCTCTCTGTAACTCTGCCTTTTAAATAAGTAAATAAATCTTAAATTAAAAAAAATTAAATAAAAAAACTTTTAAGATATTTAATCCTAGGTATTTATTTAAATACCAATTGTGAAACATTAATAGTGAATCTTTGTCTTTTAAAAAAGATATTTTCTATATAAAAATAGTTTAAGAAAGTACTATTTGCAGAAAGCTTGATTCTTTCTTACTGTGTCACAGCTCATGCACAACCCTGTTTGATGGCAGCTTTCCCAAAAGTGCTAACTATAACAGCTATGAAGCAATCATGAATTCTACAGTGCTGGCTTTTTAAAGTCTAAACCGATACAGGGGCTGGCGCTGTGGCACAGTGGGTTGAGGCCCTGGACTGCAGTGCTGGCATCCCATATGGGCACTGATTCAAGTCCCGGCTGCTCCATTTCTGATCCAGCTCTCTGCTATGGCCTGGAAAGGCAGTGGAAGACGGCCAAAGTCTTTAAGCTGAAGTCTTTAAACTGAGACAGTAGAAGAAGTTATACAAGGCACAAAAAATATACAAAAGAGAAATTTCTACATACTACCTTACCTTTCTGGTAAATTCTGTGGTTGCTTCCATAAGTTGCTTTTCTTGATCTGTAAACTGAAGGATATAAAGCAGCAGGACATTAACAAAAAGAAAAGACTAAAAAACACTAACAGGAAGGAATAACAAGGAAAGTATATTTAAAAATATATTACCATATCTGTTACTCTGCTCCTTTCAAGGTTGATGTCCAATTTATTATCTGCTCTGATTCGACTAGTTTCATGCTTTAAAAAAAATGAAAATATTTCAACAGATGATCTTGTAATGAGTTTTGTTTCTCAAAGTGGAAAATACAAATTTCACTTACCATTAGTTGTTGCTTAACCTCGTCCAATTCAATTTGCATTTTCTAAGCATAAGACAGAGACCACATACAATTAGCATTAAAATAAGAGCACATATTATGATCTGTATTAAAAATCTAAAACTCTGGATTAGCAAATTTGAATTGGGACATCTAATACAGAATTTGATAAAGAAAAAAACAATCATATTCAGAAAATTTCTTTGAATAAAACTTAGAACATTTCTTCAGTATTCAAATCTGCTTCTGAAATATGATTTTCTAAATTAAAAAAAATTTCAGCTAGCAAATTATATAACTTAAATTTTTCATCTAATTATAAAAAAGATATTTCTCTTAAGTGACAAAGGCAATTAGTGCAGTATCAAATAAAATAGAACATGATATATTTCTTTCACCCCTGAGAACATTAACATAAAATATACTAGAAATCTGATTCCATAACACAGCTCAGATTTTTCCTTTTATGTAATTTTTCTATGTATAAAATATAACTCTTATTCTTCAGTATACAAATTATCATTTACATATAAAAATACTAGGTATGGTTAAACAGTATATTTTTTAATCTAAAAACTTAATTGCTTAATAACCATGTAAAATTGTTATTTGGCCTTATTAACCAAGTAGGACACTTGTGAGATTGTGGTTTTTTGGTAATAAATTAGGACTTGTATTACCTCATTCTCTGCTCTTAGATTTGCAAATTCACTTTTCTCTAGGATGACCATATCTTTCCTGATAGAATCCAAATGAGCCATTAACTGTTGTACTGTTATTTCCTAGAAGACAAAGTAAAAATAACCTAGTGATTTATGGAATGCCATCCTTTCATTTATGGAATTGTTTACATGAAATTGAAAACAGTTTGTTAACATGCTACAGGGTAGGATGTTGCTTGCTTAAAATTTACATAGTATGTATTATATATATATATATAAAAATGTATAGGGCTTTTAATGAAAAGAATTTCTAAAAAATGTCTAGTCCCTGAACAAATAATTTTTTCTAAATACCTTTAGGGAAAGGGTTTTATCTTTTGTTACTATGATTTTAAGGGATTTTCTACAATTGGAAGATTCGCCAAGGAATTGGATAAGAATCTGGATTTTAATTTTGTTTAAAGTTCCTGTGTATCTCTCCCATATTTGGCACTGGAAAGAATATATGAAAGAAAAGGTAGGGCCGGTGCTGTGGCTCACTTGGTTAATCCTCTGCCTGCGGTGCTGGCATCCCATATGGGTGCCAGGTTCTAGTCCCTGTTGCTCCTCTTCCAGTCCAGTTCTCTGCTGTGGCCCGGGAAAGCAGTGGAGGATGGCCCAAGTGCTTGGGCAACTGCACCCGCATGGGAGACCAGGAGGAAGCTCCTGGCTCCTGGCTTCGGACCGGAGTAGCTCTGGCTGTAGTGGCCATTTGGGGGGGTGAACCAATGGAAGGAAGACCTTTCTCTCTGTCTCTCTAACTCAATCAAAAAAGAAAAGGTGGCCAGTACATGATAAAATTATAACCTTCTGCTTTATTAAAGAAGGACATTTTTGTTGAAATGATTTCCAAGAAATTTGAAGGGGCAAAAAGGAGTTCTTGGGAAAAAAATAAATTACAAGACAATGCAAATCTACCTTGAGCTTTTGAAGTTCCTTCATGTAATTGTTGCCACTAAGCTTTTAAAATTAGTTTGCTGACTTATCATTTATCCCTCTTTGCCAAAAGAAAAAGCTGTTGAGGGTATAACCTTAAAAATGACTAATAGTTTATACATAAAACGTTAGTTCAAACAGGAACAGGATCATTAACTCTAATTCCCATTTTGAAATCGGAATTTATGACCGGGGTACCTTGCTGGGGTTGCAATTCCCCACTGATCAATGTAGGTGAGAAGGACTGTTTCAAAACTGACTTGAGTTTTAGAAAAGGGAAGCTGTAATACTTCCCAACACATGACCAAGAAACAGTTTGGTCTTGGTGTAGAAGTTAAAGTATAAACCTGCAAGAACAACTTTCAGATGGCACAAAGTGCAGAAGTTAAGAGTTCTGTTTGAATCCAAACTGTGCTGTTTACTAAGAGACTTTGGATGAGTTATTTAACATCTTTGGTCTCCTTTTGGCAAATTGGTAATGATAACTACTGCTGTTTTGAGGTTAAATGAGATAATTTACATATAAGGTTGATTTTTTTTTTTTGACAGGCAGAGTGGACAGTGAGAGAGAGAGAGAAAGGTCTTCCTTTTGCCGTTGGTTCACCCTCCAATGGCCGCCACGGCCGGTGCACTGCGGCTGGCGCATTGCGCTGATCTGAAGCCAGGAGCCAGGTGCTACTCCTGGTTTCCCATGCGGGTGCAGGGCCCAAGGACTTGGGCCATCCTCCTCTGCACTCCCGGGTCATAGCAGAGAGCTGGCCTGGAAGGGAGGCAACCGGGACAGAATCCGGCGCCCCGACCGGGACTAGAACCTGGTGTGCCGGCGCCGCAAGGCAGAGGATTAGCCTATTGAGCCACGGTGCCGGCCTACGTATAAGGTTAAAAGAGTTCTTGACACGATTAGCACTCAATGTTAGATACCATTATTATTAATGGGATAGGGATCTAATGGCTGAAGCAGTGTAGTCTGACCCTAATGTTTTGAAGTAGAGGGGAAATTTTCACTTTATATATTTTTTAAAGATTTTATTCATTTATTTACTTGAGAGGCAGAGTTACAGAAAGGTCTTCCATCTGCTGGTTCACTCCCCAAATGGCTGCAACAGCCCAAGCTGAGAGGATCTCTAATGAGTCCCGCACAGCTGCAGGGGCCCAAGAACTTGGGCCATCTTCCACTGCTTTCCCAGGCCATAGGAGAGAGCTGGATCAGAAGAGGAGCAGCCAAGACACATACCGGCACCCAAATGGGTTGTGGGTGCTGCAGGCAGATAGGCCACAGCGCCATCCCCTCACTTTAATGTTAATCCTGGCTTTGGATCAGCCCAGCGCTAGCCATTGTGACCACCTGGTGAGTGAACCAGCAGATGGAAAATGTTTCTCTCTCCTTCTCTCTCTGCCTCTGCTTCTCTGTAACTCTGCCTTTCAAATAAATACATAAATCTCAAAAAAAATTAAGACCTGAAGAAGCTCCTGGCTCCTGGCTTCAGACTGGCTCAGCCCTGGCTGTTGTGCCATTTGAGAAGTGAACTAGCAGATGGAAGATCGATCTGTCTCCATTACTATCTTCCAAATAAATAAATGAATCTTAAAAAGCATTCATACAGGTCAACATAAAAAGCTTATAGCCTGGTACAGTTTTTTTTCAGGATAGCTCAAGGCTTTCAGGAATTAAATGCTTGGCTTTTTCTCTGGTGGACTTAGTAGTCTGCTATGACCCTGAACAAGTTAAGCTAAAATGATACATATACAAAATTTAAAGATAAGTTAAACACTGGAGTTGACTATTTCAATTCTGAATATCTGATTGGAGAATACAATAAAAATCTTTTTTTTTAAAGAAAAGGATTTATTGGGGGGGGAAACCAGACCAGAGGGAAGGGTCGAAGAAGGAAAAGAGGGAGAAGGAGAGTGTAAGAGAAAGATCAAGAGAGAGACTGAGAGATTGAGAAAGAGCCACGTATTCAGGAACAAGTCCTCTTAAACCTTTGCTGGGGGGCAGGCAGGGAAGTAGCAGCATTGAGGGGCAGGCAGGGAAGTAGGAGCAGTGAATCCAATTAGGATGGGGGTGGAGCTGACACCAGTGGTTGGGCCGTGTGGTCATCTGGCTTCCAGCAATGGTGGTGGGAGCTAGAGCCTAGGATGGAGACCAGGGTGTAGATCATGCCATAGAAAAGACTGCAGCATTTTACTAACATTCTCCCCTTTTGTTTTTTATAAAGCAAGAGTTGTATGGGAAAAATATTAGCCTCAAAATTCCAGGAGGGGTAGAGGGATGATGATCCGTCTTTAGAGCTGCTTTCTGCTAACATTGGGCGACAAGGTACTCTGCTGTCGTGGGGCGTTGTCTCAAGCCACTATCTCCTGGATGGGGAGCCAAGTATATCCCTGTAGCAGCATTTGGTTGACTGCTTGGTTGGTGAAGGCCTTGGTTCGTTCCATTATCACCTCGTGTACACTCAGAAATTGGAAGGCCGGTGTGTGAGTGGACATCATGAAGCATTTGGTGGCACGGAAGGAGTTCTGGGGTGTGTTTTGTGACTCGCAGAAATCTAGGACCCAAAGGCAGATCAGAGATCCCTGAAGGGAGAGCTCCCCTGGGGGAGCCTGGATCCGAGTCCCGGCACCTATGTAAGGCTGACATAAAACACACCAAACACTGGAGTAAGGGAAAAGATTTACTGTGGGAAACCAGACCGGAGGGAAGGGTTGAAGAAGGAAAAGAGGGAGAAGGAGAGTGTAAGAGAGAGAGCGAGAGGCCAGCGCTGTGGAGCAGTAGGTTAATCCCCCACCGGCAGCGCCGGCATCCCATATGGGCGCTGGCTCTAGTCCTGGCCACCCCTCTTCCAATCCAGCTCTCTGCTAGGGCCTGGGAAAGCAGCAGAAGATGGCCCAAGTCCCCGGGCTCCTGCACCCATGTGGGAGACCCGGAAGAAGCACCTGTCCTCCGGCCTTAGATCGGTGCACCTCCAGCCGTTGTGGCCATTTAGGGAGTGAACCAACGGATGGAAGACCTTTCTCTCTGTCTCTCCCTCTCATTGTCTGTAACTCTACCTCTCAAATAAACAAAATCCTTAAAAAAACAAAAAAAAAAAAACCGCGAGAGATCAAGAGACACACAGAGAGAGATGGAGAGAGAGAAATGGAAAGAAAAAGCAACAGTAAAAATCCTTAAAAGCTTTTGATCCTCCATGACTCTTAAACTAATGAAATTTTATGCAAGAGATTATAATTTTATGTAAGAAACCCTAAATTTTCTGTGCTATGAAATATTTATGAGGGAAACCTAAATTTGAAAAATTAAAGTTTTTACTGCAATAAAAACTCTTGCAAAATTTTCAGCCTTTCTGAGCCAAGACAAAGACAAAAGCAGAATTTTGCCTACATCCTCAAGGTTGTTAGAGATTGATTCATATATGAAAAGTATCCAGCCTCTTATATCTTAAATCCATAATAAATTGCAACATTTAACTAAAAGGATTTATATATGTTGACTTAAAGGATTTATATATACAAATTAAAGCATCATAGGCAGATAATTTATGAAGTCCTTCCCAGCCATGTAAGTTCCTTTCCATTTTCTAAGTCTATGAAAATCAGCCAGAATATATATGACAGCAGTAAAACAGGTTAACTCTTCTACTGTGGCAGTCTTTCTAGGAAGAAAAGTTGTTTTATTAATAGCCCACCACAGGTCATGATTCAAACGTAATCATTACATAAAATCAAAGATGGCATAGAAGGTAAAACCACCGCCTGCAGTGCTGGCATCCCATATGGGCACCAGTTCTAGTCCTGGCTGCTCCACTTCCAATCCAGCTCTCTGCTATGGCCTGGAAAAGCAGTAGAAGACAGCCCAAGTTCTTGGGCCCCTGTACCCACGTGGGAGACCCAGAAGAAGCTCCTGGCTCCTGGTTTTGGATTGGCTCAGCTCTGGCGGTTACAGCCAATTGGGGAATAAACAGTGATGGAAAATCTCTCTCTCTCTCTCTGCCTCTCTCTCTCTGTGTAACTCTGACCTTCAAATAAATAAATAAATCTTAAAAAAAAAAATCAAAGATTTGGCAAAATTCTATTCTCTGTTTACAGAATCTTGTGGGACTAGCATTGTGGTGTAGTAGGTAAAGCCCTACCTATAATGCTGGCATCAAATAGGGGTGCCAGTTCGTGTTCTGGCTGCTCCACTTCTGATCCAGCTCCCTGCTAATGGCCTGGGAAAAGCGCAGACCGTCATGAAGCTCCTGGCTCCAGTTTAGCTCAGCCCTGGCTGTTGCAGCCACTTGGGGAGTAAACCAAGAGATGGAAGAGCTCTCTAACTCTGACTTACAAATAAATCTTTTTAAAAAAATGAATCCTGTGACTATTCTAACTCTTCAGTCTCTAGATAGTGACTTTATGAAAGGTTCTTTTTTGGTGTGGTGCTTTTATAGAGAAAAACAGAGATACAACTGAATTTTGAAGGCAGGTAGGTGGACAGAAATGTAGTTATGAAAAAGATTGTTTAATAAAATTGTCAGAACAAAGAAAAATGAATTACCTGTTGAGCTTGAGTGACCATCTCCTTATAGATAGTATCCAGGCTGACATTTGATAAAGTGGTTAATGCTGATACAATTGTTTCTGCTTGTGCTTTGTCAAATCCTGTAAGCAGAAAACTAGTATTTGCATTGTTTTAAAAGCAGATATTTTGATCAGAATAGACAGAATAACTACTGAACATTTAAACTGTTGTAACTTTTAAAAAAATGTTTACAATTAAAAACTTGACAAATAGTGCTAAATTATTCCCCAAAAGCATTCAAGAATTTAAATTCTCACTGATATATATCTTCCATCTATATTAACTATGGATATCTCTAGGTTTGAGTGTGTAATTGGCATTAAAAATAGTACTGTACTGCTATTTTACTTTGTATTAAGTTTTCATTTCCTTGTTTGTAGTGAGGTTAAGCATTTTTACATGTACTTGTGGTTATTTAATTTTCTGTGTGCTGCTTATTGATAACCTTTGTCCATTTTTCTATAAAATTGATGAATTTCTTGTTGATTCCTAAGAACTCTTTTACATTTAGTTTTCAATAGAGGATCTATTATATTTTTTTCCACAACTAGTCATTTCTCATGTATCTCACTTATAGTGCCTCCTTTATCACATGCTAAATTTACATGTCTCATTCTCATATTAATTAACTTTCTCTGCCCTATCACACATTTTAGTGCATTTGTTCTTTGACTTTTAAAAATTATTCCTGTATATTTTCACTTCTAGATTTTTCCTTTCTTATTTAAGTGGAATTATTCTGCAGTTTTATAAAATTATTTTTTAACATATTGAGCATTCCTTATAGCAGTAAATATTCTTCAAACACTATTGTTTTTCATGATTGTACATTATGTATGGGTTGTATTTCTATTTAAATAGCTACTCTTAACTGTTCATAATAATGACAGTGTCTTTAGGTAAATTACTAGATTAGTACTTTTAATTTTCTTCTTTCAAAAGGTACCAATGTTTCTTACCATTAGTTTCCAAGTCCTGAACCAATGCATGGGTATCAAAAGTTAACTTCCTTTGTTCTAAAGGAGTTATGTCCACTGGCCGCCTGTCATAGCCTTCCTTGTTTGTGGTGGTCAAGAAACCTGAAGACAAGACAGTGTTGTTTTATGGCTAATAACCGACAGAGGTATCAGTTTAGCTTCTAAAGCATTCATTCACCTTATCTATAACATAGTTCCAGGTCTTCTAATTAGGAATTCTATAACCTCAGGCAACTTAACGCATCTGCATCCTTCTTTTATCTGAAAAGTCTGCTATTACCCTGTACACAGTAAACATTCAACAAATACTAACTGTAGGGAGGAATACTTAAGGTTTCTCCAAGAACACTCAATTTTGTGTATACTGAACATCTACACATGAACCAAAGTCCTTGTCAATGACTCAGGCAGCCAACCAGCAACCCTATGGAGGGCCAACAACTGCGGTCTCGACCCGCTGTTCGTAAAATCAAACAACGGGCAAAACAACACAAATTGTCTCAAAAACAAAGCCAGAAGCTCTTCAAGACACACTGCTAACAGGGAAGCCGACTGGCCCGACACCATAGATTCCAGCACTGTTTTTTCTCCCCCTTTTCCTTCTTAAACGGCTATTACGTGATTACAAGGTGCTGGGAATTACAGCGATAATAAAGCTGACCTGACCGGAAATGCATGATGCGGTCTACAAAAAAACGGCTTGGGGCCACCACGCAAGTAACAGTCTAAATTTCAACAGGCCGCAAAAAAATCAGGGCGCTTCCAAAGAGACACTCGGCCTCAGGTGACACAGAAAAGGGATTCGGCCAAGAGAGGAGCCCAGAACCTCCGGGGATAGCGCTCCGAAGAGGAAGGCGGCTTCTTCCTGGTCCCCGCCCCACGGGTCCATCCAGGGAGGCTGGGGAGAAGGCGTGGCGCCTCCGCCTCCCGCCCGCCCGAGCAGGACTGTCTCCCCACGGAGCCCGCGGGCAGCGTGGCACGGCGCCTTGTCTCACCTCGCCGGAAGAGCGGCGAGAAACGGCTGTGGGGGGCTGACAACCAATCGCCCACGCTGCTTTTCGAGCGCAGAAGTCGCCAAACCCAGGCACTCCTCATGTCCCCGCAGTTTTCCGGTGAGGGAGGCGGCGGAAGACGGCCTGAATTTCGCACAGGCTTTCGGGCAAGGTAGTTCTGGTACAATACGAATGCTGGGAAATGTAGTTCTCAGCCTGTCACAGGCACGCTGCCCCGCCCGTCCGCGCAGGCGCGCATCGCGGTGCCGCGAAGCTGGGCCTCTTCACGGGTGGACCCACTGTTAACGAGCATGATTTAGAGCTGCTCCACTTCTCCCACCGCCCTTCCCGACCTGTGCACGCCGTTACCGCGCTAAGAAAGTGGGATCCTATCGGAGAACCTTTCCGGTGCCCGTTTCCTGAAAGGTACACGAAGAGCCTCCAAATCGGCCCGAGACAGGCTATTCTACGGAGCGGTGGTTATGTCTATCCGCACCGCTACCTGGGCTCTGAAGGCCTCTATCGCTGAGCATTCTGGGAGGCCGCGTACTCGGAACCCACGAAACCTGGCAATTGTGGGCCAGTGAGCGGTTCACTCTTGCTAGTTCGCCCCCTGGCGCACAGGAGGACCAACTGAATTTAGTGGCTTTGATGCCTCTGGGGAAATGGTTCCTCTGGCTCCTCCAGTGGACATAAGTTTTCACCGTTTATCTTCTGAAGATGCTGCGTAGTTGTGCTGCTCAAAAGCACTCATGTACATGAGTGTTCTTCATGAATCCTGAAGCCACACACAACCGTTAGCCGTTTAGTGGCTTATTTATTCTCACCAGGCTCTAAACGGTGAAACACTAAGTTTCCTACTTGTGTATATTCAAAATATTATGAATCAGCTAAATAATAAGTGTCGTTGTAAGCACTGAGGCACATTTAAAAGGAGAAAGAACTTTATTCCTTCCAGCAAGGGCTTTAACACATAATTCATGGGGATGAAACAGAAACAGCTATTTTTAAAATTGGGACCAGAAAAATTTTGAAAGTTTAATCTCATCAGGAGAAAATAAAAAGCAAAACATAAGACTACCCCATTTTTACTTATAAAGATTTTTTAAAAATTAATTCTTAATGCTAGCAAATATGCAATTAGGTGTATAACATTGCTGGTAGAAGCGTAAATTATTACAACATATTATTAGGAAAGCAATTCAATAATACATATGAAACTAAAAAGTGAGTAGCTAGTTTCACTTCTAAGAACCTAGCCTAAGAAAAGAATCACATCTGTAGCCAAGATATTTTACAATGATGGCTTCCTTTGTGATGTTTGAAAATATTGTAAATATTCAGAAGTGATTCAAGGGACCAGTGTTGTCACACGGTGGGTTAAGCTGTTGTCTGTAGCACTGGCATCCCATATGGGCATCGATTCAAGTCCCAGTTGCTCCACTTCTGATCCAGCTTCCTGTTAATGCACCTGGGAAAGCAGTGGAGGATGACCCAAGTGTTTGGACCCCAGTACTCACATGGGAGACCCGGAAGAAGCTCCTGGCTGCTGGTTTCAGTCTGTCCCAGCCCTGGCCACTGCAGCCATCTGAGGGAGGAGTGAACCAGCCAGGATATAAAATATCTCTCCTCTCTCTTTTTAACTCAGATTTTCAAATGGATAGATAAATCTTAAAGAAGTGATTCAATGAGTCACAGAAATGCTCCACATTGCAATTTGATGCAATCGTTAAAATATTTTTTTACGGGGCCAGCGCTGTGGTGCAGCGGGTTAAAGCCCTGGCCTGAAGCGCCAGCAGCCCATATGGGCGCCGGTTCTAGTCCTGGCTGCTCCTCTTCTGATCCAGCTCTCTGCTATGGCCTGGGATAGCAGTAGAGGATGGCCCAAGTCCTTGGGCCTCTGCACCCGCGTGGGAGACCTGGAAGAAACTCCTGGCTCCTGGCTTCGGATCGATGCAGTTCCAGCTGTTGTGGCCATCTGGGGAGTGAACCAGTGGATGGAAGACCTCTCTCTCTGTCTCTACCTCTCTCTGTAATTCTTTAAAATAAATAAAATAAATCTTTTAAAAATATTTTTAAAACAATATATTAGGGACAGGAAAATTCATATACTGGTATAATGCTTCTCAACTTAGGGTTCTATTCCAATAAGCCCATCGTAAAATGAAAATAAATCTAAAATGCATTTGATGCGGACATGAGTAACAATTTTATGACTTTACGATGGTATGAGAGGGCTATGCAATAAGTAAAAATTATTTTGTGAATTACAAATTTTGACTTTTCCCTGTTCTAGCCGCATGTGGTGTGACAACCTTTGTGATGCTGGTAGTGGCAAGGAGCTGCAACTTGCACTTAGAAACTGATAGCCCTGTTGCTAAAGCATCCCCATCATCCACTGGCCGATTTCAGCTCAATGCTTCTGTAACCAAGGGGAGAGAATTGGACAGGAGGGGGGCATGAGAACAGCGATAGAGAATCTGAAATAGTTTATGGGCTTGAGCCTATTTTTCAGAGGATGCTGCAGGAAAGCTTATCTTCCAACACTGTAACCCCCCCCCGGGGGGGGCACAATACCAAGGACAAGGGAAGCTCCGAGAAAACATTCAGAATGGGAACTGTAAACATGCAATGTGTAAAGACATGGTGCCTGAGCAACAAGGGCCCCGCTGAACTCTTTTTTTCTGCTTCCTGGCGCTCCCTTAACTCTGGTTACAATAACTGACAACTTCCCAGGGAGTCAGTTTCTTTAGCAGGGTGGTCTGGCTCTGCCAAGCTAACTGCAGGCGGGACTCCAAATTCAATAAATCTGTAGCAGGCTAATTTTTTAAGTTAATAATTCTGTATGGGCCACAAATTATGTTATAACTATCCAAATGGCCCTTGGCAACAAAAAAGGTACCCCTCCCTTGCTTTAGAGAATTATACCTTTCCATGGTGTCCTTTACCAGTTGCAAGTAAATAAAGCTTTTCTCTGAACAGCTCCCACTTGAGGCCCATGAACTGGTGACACTCAAGGGAATGGACCTCCTACGTCTGCTAATGTTTTGCACGTTCCTCTGACCCAGTGTGCTATCAGCTGTGCATGTTAATGATGAGTGCACATGTAACCATTCTGTTTTTCAATTTCAGTACAGTATTCAAGAATTTCCTTGAAATAGTCAACACTTTATTATAAATTAGCTTTTGTGTTAGATGATATTGCCCAACTGTAGGCCAATGTCTGTGTTTTGAGAGCACTTAAGGTAGATGAGGCTAAGCTAAAGTGCACTTTTGACTTAAAATATTTTCAATTTATAGTGGCTTTATCGAGTTGTAACCCTACTGTAAATTCAGTCGGGCAAAATCAGCTAATACAGAACTCATAATGAAGTGTTGAATATCTCATATGATTTATTGAGTACTATACTGAGAGTGAAAAACAAAATGGCTGTATGAGTACACTTCTGCACCATTATAAAGTTGAAAAATCTTATTAGGTTGGGATGTTATAAGTCAGGTATGCATATGATTATAATATTGTTAAATATGAACTGCAGAAGTTCACAGGCTATTGAAAGATACTGACCAGTGAGACCACAATATTTTTGCTTACCCTAAACTAACTTAGGATTATTTAAAAAGTGGGCCTCTTTATACATGAATATATATTCGTTACTATTTCTATCACTGTCAAGTTTGTCCCCAACACCCATACACAGATGCTGATTATTTACCTGACCATAGTTGGGCCAATCATGCTCTTAGAGAATTGTGGAAATATCTGTTAGATTCAGTGATTCTCAATCATCCTCTAGGGCTGGCTGGAACTATAGCAGGGATGCTCTGGGGTTGGGGCAACCATATTCCACTCAGTGGGCCAGAAAAGGGCAGTGAGGAAGCAGAGAGAGCAGAGTGAGTCCAGACGGCATTCAACTGATAGATACAGCTCCTTCCTGAGACCTTCCTAACGCTCTTGTATGATGTCAGGTTCTCCACTGTCGCTATTATTTGTATGCCGATGTTCTTAATTTATAAACAAATTCCCTTAACTTTGTTACTATTTTCAGATAATTTTATTGAGAGGAATAAAGAGGAAAATGCATACATAGTAGTTAGCACCAAACCTGGCACCTGTAAGTGCCCAATAAGCAGTGCTAATTCCTGTTGACTTTGCTCAGGTTGGGAGATCATCATCCGTGCATCTTATATTTCTGTGTGGCTTGCAGGTAGTTTGTATAATAAACAACCTTGGGAAACAAGGCACCTTCCCCTGGGGCAGAGTACCTCATGCTTACAGCCTCTTATAAAATAACACAACCCATTGTGTGCTCAGATCTCCCCCTGAGCCCATCTGCACCATCTCTATAGGACCCTGGGTCGAAGGAAGCTAATGCAAATGAGCTGATGCTCACGCTGATTGTTGCACTGTGAGTAATTACATCCATTGTTTCTGGCTGAGGAATCTCATGGCTTCTGCCAGCGTCCACTATGGCAGGCCGACTTGATAGCTTGCAAGTTGGGTAAGATCTCAGACCCTTTACTGTTCTTCATAACTGGATTGAAACAATTGTTCTCATTCTTTCAGTTGTATCCACATTCACAGAAATAGCTGAGTGTCAGTGAGGTAGGTTTTGTGTGTGTGTGTGTGTGTGTTTTAGATTTTATTTATTTATTTGATAGGCAGAGTTACAGATAGGGAGAGGAAGAGACAGAGAGAAAGGTCTTCCATCCGCTGGTTCATTCCTCAAGTGGCCTCAATGGCTGGATCTGGACTGATCTGAAGTCAGGAGCCAGGAGGTTCTTCTGGGTCTCCCATGCGGGTGCAGGGGCACAAGCACTTGGACCACGTTCTAGTGCCTTCCCAGGCCATTAGCAGGAAGCTGGATTATAAATGGAGCAGCCAGGACACAAACTGGCACCTAGCCCTACTATGCCACAAGGCCGGCCCCACCAGCTAGGTTAAAGGCTAGCTGTTGTGAAGAGTGACAAATAGGAGTAGAGTGAATGAATGAACATTCAACTTTTAGTCATCATTTGGCAGAGACCTAGTAGACTGAGGCATAGGAATTAGATATTGGTTGGAATTAAAGGAGTCAAAAACTCAGAAAAAGTGGAATAAAAAAGGCCAAGGAATTTGGGTTTCATATAATACACTCACAGGAGATTTCAAATGTTTTTGACTCAAGATAGGTAAAAGCTCAAGTTTGTTTCCAGAAAAATCACTATTTTTCATTCACTGATACAGGTAATATGCGATGGGGTGGCTTGGCCCTGGACAGTGCCCACTGTCTGACAGCCACCTGAGTCATCCCTGCCTCAGAGGCCAAGGAGCAGCAGGGAAGGAGGTCCTAGTGTTTTCACGGTGAAAGATCCCTTCTATTATTATTTTTTAAAATTTATTTATTTATTTAAAAGAGCTACAGAGAGAGGGAGAGGGAGAGAGGGAGTCTTCCATTTGCTGGTTAACTCCTCAATTGGTCACAACGGCCAGAGCTCCGCTGATCCGAAGCCAGGAGCCAGGAGCTTCCTCTGGGTCTCCCACGTGAGTGCAGGGGCCCAAGGAACTGGGCCATCTTCCACTGCTTTCCCAGGCCATAGCAGAGAGCTGGATTGGAAGTGGAGCAGTCAGGTCTCGAACTGGCACCCATGTGGAATGCTGGCACTGCAGGCAGCAGCTTTACCTGCTGTGGCACAGCACCGGCCCCCTTTCTATTATTATTATTGTTTGCCCTTATGAGTCCCATATTTAAACATAACTGATACTCTTTATCAGCCACACCTATGAGAGCATTACTTATTTTTCTACTGTGAATTAAGTCAAGATAAAATACTTATAGTGGGTGGGAGATCAGTAATGCTGATCCAACCTTAAACTGATAGCATCCCAGCTGTGGCAAAGTTATTTGCCAGTTTCTTTGGTGGCTTACTGTTGTCATTTTTAGTGAAGACACAGTTTCTTTAGGTGTTTTAAATGCCCAACTCTCTCAAGGGCCCCAGTACTTTTTCTTCTGATGCCCAGGGCACTGAGGAACCAGGATGGACACCACTGCATGAAATGAGATGACCAGAGGCCACCCCACATTGCAGCTGTAAACCTGGGGACCTTCAGGAGGGACGGTGCAGCCTTTTCCCTTGGAACAGTGATGTGAAGGAATCTCAGGGTATTTTTTTTTAAAGCAGTTGAATGATGTATTGAGAAAGAGCTCCACCCTATGGGTTTAATCTTCTTCCTTAACTTTCTTATGAGCTCTTGACACTAGGGGGAGTAAGTGCAAAGAACAGGGAGGAAAATTCTTGATTCTTAGTCTGAAGCTGATTGGGTGGTTTTTGTTTAATCCTTGAGTCAGAGGAGCCCATTGTCAGAAATGCTTTGTGTAGCTTTATATATATATTTTTTTAATTTCGAAAGTTGTGATTGTACTTCTACTAGGACAAAATGCCAAGTATTAATCCCGCTTCTAAAAATGTTATGTGATCATCCCAACCAGCATCACACAGAATGAAGTGCCAATCAGGACGGCCACTGCACCCTAATGTAATTTTTGGTAGCATCTCTTGTGGTGTTATTTGAATAGCTGTTACTTCTCCAGTGAGTAAGCTGGTTAAGTAGTTTATTTTGAGATTGTTCTAGCAATTCGGTTTATTTTTTTATTTTTTTATTTTTTGACAGGCAGAGTGGACAGTGAGAGAGAGAGACAGAGAGAAAGGTCTTCCTTTTGCCGTTGGTTCACCCTCCAATGGCCACCGCGGCCAGCGCGCTGCAGCCAGCCCACTGCGCTGATCCGATGGCAGGAGCCAGGATCTTATCCTGGTCTCCCATGGGGTGCAGGGCCCAAGTACTTGGGCCATCCTCCACTGCACTCCCTGGCCACAGCAGAGAGCTGGCCTGGAAGAGGGGCAACCGGGACAGAATCCGGCGCCCTGACCGGGACTAGAACCCGGTGTGCCCGCGCCGCAAGGCAGAGGATTAGCCTAGTGAGCCACGGCGCCGGCAAGCAATTCAGTTTAAATCAACAAAAATTTGAGAAGACAGAAAATAGTCTTACCTAAAGTTGAAACAAAAGAACGAGAAAAAACATACAAGAGAATCAAACAGAAAGCCCAAGAATAGAAGGAAGTGGGACCCTGAAATCTCCAAAATGTCCCAGAACTGGAGATCAGACCCAGAGTCCCTCAGGGCCCGGTGCAGGAATTCACACAAAGGAACATGGTCAAGCCTCAGGAATACATGTCATTTACAAACAATACCATCACAGCAATGGACCTTTGAGAAAGATACACATGTCTAAGACTCAGCCTTTGTCAAAATCAAAACATTTAAAAATATTATTTTAAGTACTCAGAAGATATTTCTCGCTTGTACTTTTTAAAATACTATCAAGACAAACCACAGCAAATGTAGAATCACACCAGTTATACCCAACTCACATCGTGTAATCAGCTTAAAATGTCATTCCTGGGCAAACTAGGAAAGCAGTCACTGAAACCATTTTCTTATCTTAGGTTAGATAGGTGAAGGGCTATAGGTTGGGAAAAACTTCACGAGGCTCTTTCAACATGCCAGACTCTCTTTGGGAGTCCAGGTAAGATAAGTACAGGCAGTCTGACGTTTGGAAACATGTTTTCCATTTTCTTTTTTTTAAAAGCTTTTATTTAATGAATGCAAATTTCTTAAGTACGACTTTAGGAACATAGTGATTCTTCCCCCCATAACCACCCACCCACTCGCACTCCTGTCCCACCTCCTACTCCCTCTTCCATCCCATTCTTCATTAAGATTCATTTTTAATTAACTTTATATGCAGAAGACCAACTCTATACTGAGTAAAGATTTCAACAGTTTGCACCCCCCACACACAATGTTTAAAGTACTATTTGAGAATTTGCAGTTAATTTTCATAGTACAACTCATTAAGGATAGAGGTCCTACATGGGGAGTAAGTACACAGCGACTCCTGTTGTTGATTTAACGATTAGCACTTATTTAGAAACATGTTTTCATAGCTGTAATTGTTGACTACTGTCAGGAGGTGGGACTGTATGCACACTAAATTGTTACAAAAAATTGGTTAACTCCTGTGTAGCTTTATATTAACATCACATTTGTGTGTGTGTGTGTGTGTGTGTGTGTGACTTCAAAGTGGTCACCAAACCCTACACTTGAAAATCTGGGGAAATTATTTATCCTAAGTGTCCTAAAACATTGACAACAACACTGAATTACACATTCATCAATTACAGTATTTCAAAGGGAAGCATAATTAAAAGAAAAAAAGTCCTGACAAAATATTATGTACTTTGCGATGTTATATCCTGGCGTTTCTCACTAATTATTCATTTATTCTTTCAGCTTTTCCTTTTGAACACCATTTCTGGTGCCAGACACTGCTAAGTCGCGAGGATACAGACATAAGACGCAGTGCTGCCTTTATGGTGCCATCGGGTTAATTGTAATCAATATTGGGGTGAAGGCAAGTCCAGGCTGCCAAGGTAAGGCATAAGAGAGGCTTATTCTACTCTATGCCAGAAGCCTGGGAAGGCTTTCATTTAGAAGGATGAGTTAAAAGAAATCTAGTTAAATAGATTTGGTAGGTACTGGTATGGGATATGTTGTGTGCAGAAAGCAACAGCACTTGCCAAAGCCAGAGGACTGCATGAGAGAACCTGGTTCATCTGGGAATGAAGAGAAGACTGGAGTAAAGGGTTGAGGGTGGAGGGATTCAGAAGGTGAGACTGCAGAAGGCAGAGCTGGCCAGCAAGATCTTTTACTTCACCCATGAGAGAGAGGAATCCCTGAGGGCAGTGGGTTGGAAAGTGGCACTGAAAAGAAAGAAAAAAAAGAAGAGCAAAGGCTCTTCTTAAAAGATTTATTTATTTATTTGAAAGGCAGAGTTACAGAGAGAGGAGGAGAGACCCACACAGAGAGAAAGAAAGAGAACTTCCATTACTCCCCAAAGTGGCCACAACAGCCAGGGCTGTGCCCCGCTGAAGCCAGGAGCCAGGAGCCAGGAGCTTCATCCGGGTCTCCAGTGTGGGTGCAGGGGCCCAAGTACTTGGGCCATCTTCTGTTGCTTTCCCATTAGCAGGGAGCTGGGTTATCTGTGCCTCAGAGGCCAAAAGAGCAGCAGGGAAGAAGGTCCTGGTGTTTTCATGGCAAAGGATCCCTTTTATTATTACTATTATTAGCAGGGAGCTGGATGGGAACTGGAACAGCTGGGATATGAACCAGCACCCATACAGGATGCTGGCATCACATGTGGCTTTACCTGTTCTGGCCCCTGTCCAGCCCTCTCATTTGAGCTTTTCTCTTAGCAGGCAGGGCCGTGCAGTCCATATACTGCTGTCTTAGATACTGAGCTGACTGACCTTAAATACCACCCCTCCCTTTCCTGGCCAGGGATAACTCCTTGCCTTGCAGAGCCTACATCTGCAGCCTCAAGGTACCTGATCAGAGGAGTCCTCCTTACTGTACAGCTTAGTTGCCTCCGATCTCGCAGGAACCTACTTGGGAGGTAGGATTTGGGGGTCTCAGCTCTAGAGGAGCTGGAAAGGTTCACTAAAGCCTCACTATGGCCTGTGTCCTTCCCCTCCCTTACAACAGGGTGGAACATTATTTCCCCCAAAACTTATGATATGTAGCCACTTTATCTTCAGGAGTTCATTCATCTGCTTTGGCTCATTGGAGCTCCCCAGCAACTCCATAGCTGAATATCATTGCTCCTGTTTTACTGACAGGAAAAGTGAGGCTCAGAAGGCTGCAGTAATTTATCCCAGGCCATGGAGCCAGTAAGCAGTGGGGCTCAGGACCTGCACACTGTACAGATAAATCCTCCCTGTGCCTTCCCCCATCTACTTCACTGGGGACAGGCCACAAACAGTTAAATTATTTGTACTTTTAGGGCCACAAAGAAGTGGTCTCACATCTTTTTTCATTTGTTCAAGAAAACAAAATAGTACAGTGGTAGCAGATGGGTTCCATCTTCATGGCTCCTCCTGTTGATTGCTAGTGGCTACTTGGAACAAAGCAGTGAGGATTGGGAGGCTCCATATAAGTGCAGCAGGGAAGAATACCATGACTGATTGGTAATGTCTGCTGTGAATGCAGGAGAGGGAAGGGGTAACGCATTTCCTATTTCTAGATCATGGGTTCCTTTTGGGCTTTCATACTCCTACAGTGTTCGTGGTGTTTCTGCTGACACTCATTGTCATCCTCAACACCTCATTTACTCATTTTTCTCTTATTTCTCCCCTTTCATGATGGAACAATCCCTGCCAACTTAATAATAGTTTTAGAGGTAGGTGCTGTGGCTAGTGGGTAAAGCTGCTGCCTGAGACACCAGTATCCCAAACGGGTGCCAATTTCAGTCCTGGCTGCTCCAGTTCTGATCAGGCTTCCTGCTAATGCAACAGGGAAAGCAGCAGAGGATGGCCCAAGTGCTTGGGCCTCTGCACCTACACAGGAGACCTGGAAGAAGCTCTTGGCTCCTGGCTGTTAGCAACCATTTGGGGAGTGAACCAGCAGGTGGAGAAATCTCTATCTGTAACTCTGCCTTTCAAGTAAATAAATAACTTTTTTTTTTAAAGCTTTAAATTACTGAGCATGTACTGGGTGCTGGATACTTTGTATTTATTATTTCCAATTCTCACAAGGTAGAGATTAAAAAAAGAGATTTAGAGGAGTTAGGCAACTTGTCCAGGGAGGCACAACAGATCAGCTGGGATTTGAAACCTGGACCACATAGAAAACTTGGCATTCTTATGGTAGGCAATGAGTTCCTTCATATCCTCTGCTTTGAGTTTCATGGCAGCCTTGTGAGATAGCTGTCTGGGGTTGCAACTGACAGAGCTTGAGGCTAACAGGAGAGGAGATGACTGTGTGGTGACAGCCATGTTTCCCCACTGCTACCACAGGTCTTTTCCTGTTACTGTCTTGGGATATTGGAGGGAGCCAGGGATTCCCCAGTTGTATTACAAACAGCTGATCTGCATCACCATAGGGAGAACCTGGGGGCCTTGGTTGATTTTACTCCTTCCATCCTTACCCTGTTTACAGCTCTTACCATCGAGGTCTTTTGTTTTTTTAACTTTTATTTAATAAATATAAATTTCCAAAGTACAACTTTTGGGTTACAGCAGCTTTTTCCCCCCATAACCACCAGCAACCATCCCATCTCCCAGTCCCTCTCCCATTCCATTCTTAATCAAGATTCATTTTCAATTATCTTTATATACAGAAGATCAATTTAGTATATACTAAGTAAAGATTTCAGCAGTTTGCACCCACACAGAAACACAAAGTATAAAGTATTGTTTGAGTACTAGTTATACCATTAATTCACATAGTACAACACATTAAGGACAGAGATCCTACATGGGGAGTAAGTGCACAGTGACTCCTGTTGTTGATTTAACAATTGACACTCTTATTTATGGCGTCAGTAATCACCTGAGGCTTTTGTCATGAGCTGCCAAGGTCTTTATTGCTTGCTCCTTGTTCTGAAATTTCAGCCATTTCTTTTTGTTTTGTAAAAAAATCATGGAGGTGAAATTCATGTAACTTAAAATTAACCATTTTAAAATGAACAATTCCGTCCATTTATAATGATGAGGAAATTTAGGCTTAAAGAGAAATCGAGAGCTTCCCTCAATATATATTCAAACTAAAGTTCTAACAATTTTGTGCCTACAATATTGTTAACATCTATTTTGATATTTCATTTATCAAACTCATTTTATGTTTACATCTTCATTTGAGTACTATAAAACAATTGCTTTTTAAACTAAAAAAAAAGAACAATTCTGGAGTGGTCATTGTGTACAATGGATTGAGTTGTTGTTTGGGACTCTCACATCTTGCATTGGAGTACCCAGGGTTGAATCCTATCTTTGCTTCTGACCCAACTCCCTGCAAATGTGCCTGCAGGGCAGTGGAAGATGGCCCAAATAGTTAGGCTCCTGCCACCACATGGGAGACCCAGATGAAGTTCCTGGCTCCTGGTTTTATGCTGGCCTAACCCCAGCTGTTGAGGTCATTTGGGGAGTGAAGGGATGGAAGAGGTTTCTCCTTCTTGATCTGTCATTCTGCCTTTCAGATAAGCAAACAAGTAAATAATCTTTAAAAAATAAGACAATTCAGTGGGGGCCAGTGCTGTGGCACAGTGGGTTAATGCCCTGGCCTGAAGCTCTGGCATCCCATATGGGCGCTGGTTTGGGACCCAGCTGCTCCACTTCCGGTCTAGCTCTCTGCTATGGCCTGGGAAAGCAGTAGAGGACGGCCCAGGTGCTTGGGCCCCTGCACCTGTGTGGGAGACCTGCAAGAAGCTCCTGGCTCCTGCCTTCGGATTGGCACAGCTCCGGCCTTTGTGGCCAGTTGGGGAGTGAACCATCGGATAAAAGACCTCTCTCTCTCTCTGCCTCTCTTCCTTGTGTGGCTCTGACTTTCAAATGAATAAATAAATCTTTTTTAAAAAAAGATAATTCAGTAGCATTTACTACATTCACAATGCTGTGCAAGTAATATTTTTATCTCTATCTTGTTCTGAAATATTTCCATCACTCCTAAGTGTGTCCCTTACCTATGAAGTAAATTCTCCCCCTTCTCCACTCTCCATATCCCCTAGCTAATTCCATTTTGCATTTTATCTCTGTGGGTTTATCTATTCTTGATATTTCATATAAATGGAACCATGCAATATGTGACCTTTTGTGTCTGGTTTCTTTTACTTGTTAGAATGTTTTGGGCCGGCGCTGCAGCTCACTTGGCTAATCCTCCGCCTGCGGCACCGGCACCCCAGATTCTAGTCCCGGTCGGGGCACCGGATTCTGTCCCGGTTGCTCCTCTTCCAGTCCAGCTCTCTGCTGTGGCCTGGGAAGGCAGTGGAAAATGGCCCAAGTGCTTGGGCCGTGCACCCGCATGGGAGACCAGGAGGAAGCACCTGGCTCCTGGCTTTGGATCAGCACAGTGTGCCAGCAGTAGTGGCCATTTAGGGGGTGAACCAACGGAAGGAAGACCTTTCTCTCTGCCTCTCTCTCACTGTCTAACTCTGCCTGTCAAAAAAAAGAATGTTTTTGAGGTTCATCTGTGTGGCAGTATGTATTCATTCCTTTTCATGGCTAATATTCCCTTGTATGTGAACACTACAACTTGTTTCTCCATGAATAGACATTGGGCTGTTTTTACCTCTTGGAAATTATAAATATTGTTGCTATGAATATGTATATACATGTACAGGTTGGAGTATCTGTGTTGGATTATTCTGGTGTATACTGAGGAGTGAAAATGCATATGTAATAATTATATGTTCAACTTTTGACTGATAATTGTGGTTCTATGGCAGATGATACTGCAAGTTACAGGCAGGGGTAGATGTCTATGAGACAGTAGAAGTAGCCTGTGGTAAAGAACCTTGAGAGGGTGTGAGAGCCTCCTATAGATGATCCTTCAGCTGGGAGTGGACATGAAGCACTGCTCAGCTCCATAGCACCTGTGG